GAAAACTTCACGACAAGTTTGTTTTCTATAAAGCATCACGATCAGTCGGTTTTCTATAGAAAACTTCACGAACAGTCGGTTTTATATAGAAAACAACTTCACGATCAGTCGGGTTATAGAAAACAAGTCTGTTTTCTATAAGTCTGTTTCTATAAAAAACATCACGATCAGTTGATTTTCTATAAAAACATCGCGATCTTTCCTACAGAAAACTTCACGATCAGTCGGGTTTTTATAGAAAATAAGTCTGTTTCTTAAAAGCATCACGATCAGTTGGTTTTCTATAGAAAACATCACGAACAGTCGGTTTTATATAGAAAACAACTTTACGATCAGTCGGGTTTATAGAAAACTTCACCACAAGTCTGTTTTCTATAAAAAACATCACGATCGGTTGATTTTCTATAAAAACATCGCGATCTTTCCTACAGAAAACTTCACGATCGGTCGGGTTTTTATAGAAAACTTCACAACAAGTCTGTTTTCTAAAAAGCATCATGATCTGTCGGTTTTATATAGAAAACGTCACGATCAGTCGGTTTTCTATAAAAAAAAACATCACGATCTTTCCTACAGAAAACTTCACGATCAGTCGGGTTTTTATAGAAAACTTCATGATAAGTCGGTTTTCTATATAAAACATCACGATCAGTCAGTTTTCTATAAAAAAACATCAATCAGTTTTCTATAGAAAATTTCACGATCAGTCGGTTTTCTACAAAAAACTTCACGATCAGTTTCTTTTCAATAGAAAACTTTGCAATTATTCAGTTTTCTATAGAAAACTTTACAATCAGTTTGTTTTCTATAAAAAAAAAATTCATAATCAGTTTGTTTTATATAGAAAACTTCACGATCAGTTTGCTTTCTATAGTAAACTTCACAACCAGTTTGTTTTCTATAGAGAACTTCACGATCGCTTTCATTTCTGCAGAAAACTTTACCTACAGTCAGCTTATTAACCAATGCTCAGTCAATTTTCTATAGAAAATTTCACGATCAGATTGTTTTCTATAGAAAACTTCACAATCAGTTTGTTTTCTTTAGAATACTTCCTAATATATTTTTTTATACAAAACTTCAAGATCAGTTCCTCTTCTATAGAAAACTTCACAATCAGTTTGTTTTCTATAGAGAACTTCACGATCAGTTTGTTTATTATAGAAAACTTCACGATCAGTTTTTGTTTTCTATGGAAAACATCACGATCAGTTTGTTTTGTATAGAAAACTTCACGATCATTTTGTTTTCTATAGAAAACTACTTAATTAGTTTGTTTTCTGTAGTACGATCAGTTTTCTGCAGAAGAATAGTTTGTTTTCTATGATTACTTAGTATTTAATTCTGTTGATTTAAACAAATCTCTAATTTATAGGTTTAATTTCAAAGCATTTAAATATGTATTAGCTTTCATTTGAAAAACAAAGATCGGACCAATTATTCCAATCAATCGCTTTGACCCTTAATATATATTCCCAGACAATTTCTAATTAACATAATATTTAAATTTGTTCCACTAAGAATTTTGCAAACAATAAATTAGTTTTAACTACAAAACTAGAATTAAAAATCCACCTTTTTTATCCAGACACACAAAAATCATCATCAATACCAACAATTTTCTTGACCCCAAAATCGAACGGTTAAAGAAAAAGATATGCCAACATAGAAACTAAAACTTCCCATAAGAACTAACAAATACTGGATTCTATTATCAAGAACTAAAATATAATTAAAAAAATTTAATTTTAATTAACTTTATGTCAAAATTATTAATGATCAAAATTTAAAGTCAAATATACCACGAAGAAAAAAACGAGTGAAAAAAACGTGCAAACAATTTAACAAAATTAAACTAAATAATTTTTTTTTTTGCAAAAAGTAACAGCAACAAAAACATTCTAAAAATAAAAGAATTGAACTAAAAAATTAAAACATTAAAAAAAAAAACTAAAGACTACAACATAAAAACACCGGCAAAAATACAACATAATAAAACATAAAAGAAAAACAAAAAATTTGCAAATCTAATATCCACAACTTTTGCCTTTTTTTCTATTCTGTTCTAACTATTTTATTATGTAGATGCGTACGCCACCAGAGTGTATTGAACTTTTGATGAAACATTCAGACACACACCAACAAATACACTCATAGATTTTTCGGGGGTTCTTCAAAAAAAAACTTTCAAAATATTTTACAGATACTCAAATACAAAACTCTCTGCTGCCTACAGTTACAACAATAAGAAGAACTACAACGCTAATGAAATAAAAACAAAAAAAAAAAAATAACAAAATAGTAGATTCGCATAGATTCCCCCCAAAATAAAACACTCAGACGAAAGAAACGCCAAAAATTGGTTTGAAAAAAAAAATAGCAAAAACCTAGTGCGAAAAAGTTCATTGAACTCTTTTAGTCCAAAATAAAAAGAAACAAAAATAAAGCGTAAAGAGCATTGACACGCACAATAACACACAAACATACGCACTCAAACATTTTTGGGGCTCCAACAACAACAATAACAACACTACGCACACTTCTAATAGAAACTAGCAAAAAAAAATATAGACAAATGTTTCTATTAAAAATCCAACAACAACACTCTCTCATTATTAATAGCAATCGCAAAAAAAGCGTCTAACAATAACAACAATACGTCATAAACTTTACGCACAAAGCATAGGAGGTAAATAGCAACAACAACCATTATGTATTAACAATAAAATTTCATATTTTCTTCGACAAAAAAAACAACAACTACATATAAACATTAGATACAAATTTCGCACTGATAGTGCGTAAGCAGTGCGAAATGTATGAAATTTCTATAAAAAACAAAAACACTGCATGAAATTTCATCAAGGGCACGATTTTGAATGATTTTGTACTTAATATGGACTTTGTACCTTAAAGGTGTGTGTTCTTTAAAAGCATGAGAAAAGATAGTGTTCAAATTTTTATATAAAATTCATGATCAGTAAATTCACAAGAAACAGATTTTTAATCTATAAATTTTTTTTTAAGAAAGTTTTGTTCTCTAGAGAATATTTCAAAATCAGTTGTTTTCTATAGATAACCTTACGGTTTGTTTACAATCAGTCAGTTTTCTATGTAAAACTGCATGATCAGTCAGATTTATATAGAAAACTTCACGATCATTAAATTCTGTACAGAAAACTTTACGATTACTCAGTTTTCTGTACAACAATTCACAATCAATCTACACAATCAATTACACGATCAGTCAGTCTTCTATAGACTTCACGTTTATTCGGTTTTATTTCATCAAAAAAAACATCACGATCAGTAAATTTTCTACAGAAAACTTAACGATCAGTCAGTTTTCTATAGAAAACTTCACGATACCTCAGTTATCTATAGACAATGATCTTGAAGATCAGTCAGTTTTCTGTAGAAGACTTCACGATCAGTCTGTTTTCTATAGAAAACTTCACGATCAGTTCGTTTTCTATAGAAAACTTCACGATCAGTACGTTTTCTATAGAACACTTCACGATCAGTACGTTTTCTATAGAACACTTCACGATCAGTCTGTTTTCTATAGAACACTTCGCGATCAGTTAGTTTTTTATAGAAAACATCACGATCAATTTGTTTTCTATAGAAAACTTCACGATCAGTCTTTTTTCTATGGAAAACTTCACGATCAGTCTGCTTTCTGTAGAAAGCTTCACGATCAGTATGTTTTCTATAGAAAACTTCACGATCAGTATGTTTTCTATAGAAAACTTAACCATCAGTATGTTTTCTATAGAAAACTTAACCATCAGTATGTTTTCTATAGAAAACTTAACGAACAGTATGTTTTCTATAGAAAACTTCACGATCAGTATGTTTTCTATAGAAAACTTCACGATCAGTATGTTTTCTATAGAAAACTTCACGATCAGTATGTTTTCTATAGAAAACTTCACGATCAGTATGTTTTCTATAGAAAACTTCACGATCAGTATGTTTTCTACAGAAAACTTCACGATCAGTATGTTTTCTATAGAAAACTTCACGATCAGTATGTTTTCTATAGAAAACTTCACGATCAGTATGTTTTCTATAGAAAACTTCACGATCAGTATGTTTTCTATAGAAAACTTCACTATCAGTATGTTTTCTATAGAAAACTTCACGATCAGTATGTTTTCTATAGAAAACTTCACGATCAGTATGTTTTCTGTAGAAAACTTCACGATCAGTATGTTTTCTATAGAAAACTTCACGATCAGTATGTTTTCTATAGAAAACTTCACGATCAGTATGTTTTCTATAGAAAACTTCACGATCAGTACGTTTTCTATAGAAAACTTCACGATCAGTATGTTTTCTATAGAAAACTTCACGATCAGTATGTTTTCTATAGAAAATTTCATGATCAGTATGTTTTCTATAGAAAATTACATGATCAGTATGTTTTCTATGGAAAATTTCACTATCAGTATGTTTTCTATAGAAAACTTCACGATCAGTATGTTTTCTGTAGAAAACTTCACGATCAGTATGTTTTCTGTAGAAAACTTCACGATCAGTATGTTTTCTGTAGAAAACTTCACGATCAGTATGTTTTCTGTAGAAAACTTCACGATCAGTCAAGTTTTCTATAGAAAATTTTACGATCAGTTTTTTTTTCTGTAGAAAACTTCACGATCAGTACGTTTTCTATAGAAAACTTCACAATCAGTCCGTTTTCTATGGAAAACTTCACGATCAATCAAGTTTTTTATAGAAATATCAGTCAAGTTTTCTATAGAAAACTTCAATATCAGTCAAGTTTTATATAGAAAACTTTACGATCAGTCGGTTATCTATAGAAAACTTCACGATCAGTTTGTTTTCTATAGAAAACATCACGATCAGTTTGTTTTGTATATAAAACTTCACGATCAGTTTGTTTTCTATATAAAACTTCAAGATCAGTTTGTTTTCTATATAAAACTTCACGATCAGTCAAGTTTTATATAGAAAACTTGATCAGTCATGTTTTTTATAGAAAACTTCACGATCAGTCCAGCTTTCTATAGACAACTTGTCGATCAGTCAAGTTTTCTATAGATAACTTCTCGATCAGTCAAGTTTTCTATAGACAACTTCACGATCAATCAAGTTTTCTATAGAAACTTCTCGGTCAGTCAATTTTCTATATACTTTTCTGTAAAATACTTTACGATCAGTTATGTTTTCTGTAGAATACTTTACGATCAGTTATGTTTTCTGTAGAATACTTTAGAATCAATCAGACAGCTTTATATAGAAATCGTCACAATTTCACGATCAGTTTTTTATGTAAAAAATATTTTCATATGCATCAATAACTCTTAAGAATTACTACTTACAGTTGATATAAAGAAATTCAATTTAAATTTACCTGAAAAAAAAAGAAAAAGAAAATTAGAATGTTAATTAAATTTCGCTAAAATAATTAAAGAAATATCGCAAGTAGGTAAAGCTAAAAATAATAACATTCTTTATCCATGTTACTAATTACTAAAACCAGCTGATCCAAAAATCAATATAATTTAGCCTAAAACTAAATGTGACGTCATTTAATGACTCCCTGCTTTTTTGAAAATTTCCCAAACATTTATTCTAATTTCTGTTTCAAAAACTAGCAGTGATTGTGTATTCCCTAAATGCTAAACATTGGCAGCAAAAACATCATCAAATATTTAAAATTATGGTCAAATGTTGGCAAAACGAATGAGATGAAGTAGGTTTAAGAAAAAAACTGAAATTAAAGAAAGAATTCTCTTTTTTTTTGCTACTTAAGGCAAGGTTCTAGCTTTACTTTAATCACTGTTTAAGTTTTATTTCTCAGTTGTTTTATTTGTTATTATTTTTTTTTTTTTTTCTTATAATTTTTTTTGCATTTTTAATTAAAACCATGTTGTATACAAGTTTGCTGTTGTTGGCTGAAATGAAGTTTTTAAATATAAATAAAAAAATTAAAACAGCAACTAGCAAATTGTGAAAGTCGCATTTTTAGCACAAAAATATAGATTGGCGCCTATAACACTACTACACAAACATTTCCTTATTAAACTCATACAGTTGCAAATATTTTTATATGCATGTTACTCTTATAGTTCTAGTCTTATTTCTTTTATTCTTGGTTGTTTTAATAAATTAATATTAAATTTTATATTTATCGTATTAAAAAAAACTAAAAACTAAAACACCATTCAACAAAAGAGATCTGATTTCATATAAAGAATATATAAAAAAAGAATTAAATATAAATAAATATAAAAAACTGCTGAACTTTTTAAACAATAAGAATAAGCGGTAATAAAACCATTTAGATGACAAAATGTTTTGGAATTTTTTTAAAGTTTTTTTTTTTTTTTATAAATAAAAGGTACAAAGTTGGAAAGGTAAATGGAGAATATGAATCAGTTTTATAGCAGTTTTTTTGTTTAGAAGAAAAAATATTCCATAGTCATTAAAACGGAAAAGAATTTTTTTGTAAAGAATATTTTGCAAAATATTAGATGATTACAAAGACAATGTGTTTGTAAACATCAACGGAAAATCCCTATGAAAGCAAAAGTTAATGATCGATAAGCTTTGCATTGAATCGATCATTTATAAAATGTAAGAATTTCTTTAGAAAACGTCATGATCAGTCAGTTTTTGAAACCATCAGGATATGTCAGTTGTCAAGAGAAACATTAAAATCAGTGATCTTACTATAGTAAGCTACACGATAAGTCAGTTATGTTTAAAAAAATTTTCATATCTGTGGATTTTATTTTTAGGAGACTTCACGATCATTCAGTTTTCTATAAAATCTTTACTATCATTAAGTTTTAAATTTGTGAACTGTTAAGAAAACCTCAGGATCAGTGAGGTTTTCTTGAGATAGGTAAGTTTTCTATAATAAACAACAAGTTCAATCAGTTTTCTAAGAAAACTTCAAGATCAGTGAGTTTTGTATACAACAATTTAAGATCAGAGTTTTCTATAGAAAACTTCACGATCTGTCTGTCTGTCTTATCAGTTATTTATTTTATAGAAAACTTCACAATCAGTTTTCACGATCAGTCTACAGGTATCACAAAGGGACCAACAGGACCCAAGTGTGCGTCTTTGCAGCCTGAATACCTAACCTAAAGATCAGTCTGATTAGTCAGTTATTTATTTTATAGAAAACTTAACAATCAGTTAGTTTTCTATTCCTAACTTCATGATCAGCTAGTGTTTTATAGAAAAATTCGCGATTAGTCAGTTCTTTTATGGAAAATTTCACAATCAGTTAGTTTTCTATACAAAGCTTCACGATCGGTCAGTGTTTTACAGAATGATCAGTTTTTATATAGAAAACTTTGCGATAAAACAGTTTTTTTGTTACAGAAAACATTATGATCAGTATATTTTCTATACAAAACCTCACGATCAATAATAAATATATTATATAATATGTCAATATCAATCAGTATTCTTAGAAAACTTCACGATCAATAAATTTCAATAGAAAATTTCAAAATCAGTGAGTTTTTATTTTATAAAACTTCAAGAAAAGTGAATTTTAAATAAAAATATTCAAGAAAACTTGATTTTGTATAAAAATTTACAAGATCAGAGACTTTTCTATAAAGATCATAGCGATCAGACAGATTTTGTAGAAGATTTCACAATTAGTCAGTTTTTTTTAGGAAACTTCACGATCAGTCAGTTTTTTATAGAAAACTTCACGATCAGCCAGATTTTTATAAAAAAAAACTAGACGATCATTCAGTTTCCTAGAAAACCCCTGAATTTCAAAACTTCAAGACTTCTTTTAAACAAAAGTACATAATCAGTAAATTTGCTATAAAGAACTTCACGATCAGTCAGTGATCAGTGAATATTCCAAACAAAAAAAATTTCTAAGAAAAAGTTCAGCAATTATTTTAAAGAATTTTTCTATAATAATTCTCACGATCAATGAGATTTTTATAATAAAGTTCACGATCAATCAATTTTTTTACAGAACGTTCGCGATCAGTAAATTTCCAATAGCGATCGTTACGATAAGTCAGTTTTCTATACATAACTTAATGATTTTAAATTATTTATTAAAAACCTTTAAGATAAATTTTAAAAAAACTAAATCGATCAGGCCCTATAGTGGCCTAGGTGTATTCCTTCGGATTTGATGTACTATACATCTTCCTATCAACCTAATCTATATCGATCATTAATTTTGCCCAAAGAAATTCAATTTCCATTCCATTTGCATTTTTTCTTTTTATTATATTGAAAAATCATTTCTATCGCTTAAATTGTTGTAACTGAATTTTAGTTTGTATTGTGTTTGTTGCTGTTGTTAGCAACAACAATTTCATTATATATTTAATTACCATAATTTGTTGCAGCATTACCATAGACTGTTGTTCTTGTTGTTTGCAGGGTGTAATAGTGTGTGGCATATAAAAGTCAAAACTTTTATTGTTCTATTAAATACTGTTGCAATGTAGATTTTTGTTTTTGTTCATGTTTAAAGACTTTTAAAATAGTACTTAGGAGTAGTAAACATTAGTTTGTCCTATGATTTGTAACATATTAGACAAATAAGACTTCTTAGAAAACTATCAGCCTATATAGAGAGAGAAAAGAGAGAGTCTTTTAACTACAATTTAACTTCCGCATATGTAGTTTTATTGTAATATCACTTCAAAGTAGCATTCCTTGTCACTTATTTTTCAAGCGATTCTTAAATAGTTGAAAATTATTAATAACCGTTTTACTTCCTGGTAAGAGATTTAGGAAAAAATTTATAGTACATATTCTTAAAATAAATACCTGTGGAGTAGCGTCTATGTAAACCACCTCTAACTGAATTTTCTATTACTTTTTTTAAATAATACATATTATTACGTTTATTGTTTTTGTTTCATATGTGTATGTGTGCATTAAATGTACAGTGATTTTATCTTCGCACCCTTTTTTGTGTTTCTGTGAGTTTTGCGTGTTTTATACACTTTTTGTTAGTGTTGTAGTTTTTGTTATAGTTTTTTTTTTCTATATTTTCCAATAACATTGGCCACAATATAAACGTGGAGCAAACAAAAAAAAAACAATATTGTTATACATATAGCAGATGACTGAATGTTTGTTCTTTATATGACATTATAATATTGCGTTACGCCTTTGACTTTTGTTGCAATTTGTGGCACAATTAACGGCCAACAAAAAAATTACTCATACGTAGTAGCTACAGTGCGTAGTAAAATTTTATGCTAAACGTTTTGGGTTTTCGAAAACCAGTTATAGAAACATTCACATTTAGTTTTTTTTCTATATAAAACTTGACGATCTGAAAAATTCTATAAAAAAAAACTTCAAGATCAGTGATTTTTTTGGAAACTTCGTGATTTATCTATAGAAAATATAACAATCAGTGAGTTTCCCTTGAAAATATTACGATCAGTGAGTTTTCTGGAGAGAAACATAACGATCGGTACGTTTTCTATAAAAAACTTTATGATCAGTCTGTTTTTCTATGAAAAACTTTTTGATCAGTCTTTTTTCTATAGAAAACTATACGGTCAGTCTGATTTCTATAGTAAACGTTTTCTAAAGTAAACGATCATTGAGTTTTGTATAGAAAAGTGAACGAACGATCAGTGAGTTTTCTTTAGGAATGCTAACGCTCATTGGGTTTTCTATAGAAAAGTCAATGATCTGCGAGTGTTCTATAGAAAAGTTAATGATCAATAAGTTTTCTATAGATAAGTTAACGATCAATGAGTTTTTTATAGAAAAGTAAACAATCATTAAGTTTTGTATAGAAAAGTTAACGATAATTGAGTTTTCTATAAAAAAGTTAACGATCAGTGCGTTTTCTATAGAAATGTTAATGATCAGTGAGTTTTCTATAGAAAAGTTAATGATCAGTGATTTTTCTATAGAATAGTTAGCGATAATTAAGTTTTCTATAGAAAATTATTGAGTTTTCTATAGAAAAATTAACGATCCGTGATTTTTCTATGGAAAAGTTAACGATCAGTGAGTTTTCTATAGAAAAGTTAACGATCAGTGAGTTTTCTATAGAAAAGATAACGATCAGTGAGTTTTCTAAGGAAAAGTTAACGATCAGTGAGTTTTCTATAGAAAAGTTAACGATCTGTGATGTTTCAATAGTGAATTTTTTTTAGGAAAGTTAACGATCATTGGGTCTTCTATAGAAAAGTTAACGATCAGTGAGTTTTCTATGGAAAAGTTAACGATCATTGGGTCTTCTATAGAAAAGTTAACGATCATTGAGTTTTCTATAGAAAAGTTAACGATTAGTGAGTTTTCCATATGAAACACAGTGATCAGCCAGATTTCTTTAGAAAAGTAACTGTACATGACATTTTGTATATAAAAGAGAATTTTTCTTCC